TAAGTTAAAAAGCATCTTTAAATTTTTAAAAAGAAATAAAAATACTTTTTAATATATATCTGTTTTCTTTGAGGTAGATTTAAAGTTTCAGGTTTTTAAAATCATATATATTATAAGATTTAAGAATGAGTCGACTTAAATGTTTGTTTGTTATTCTATTTAGACGTTGGTGATAATATTGGAACAAGTAAGTTATAAGGCATTTTTAAATTTTTAAAAAGAAATAAAAATACTTTTTAATATGTATCTGTTTTCTTTGAAGTAAATTTTAAAATTTCAGGTTTTTAAAATCATTTATATTAAAAAATTTAATTCTTTTTTACTTTAAAAATATCCATATTATAGTTACACTGAGTCGTAGAAAAAAGTTTATTAATAAGGTAGTAGATTAATAGAGTAGATTAAATTGTTTGATCGATTAATCAACTTAATAACGTACTATTAAAGTGAAGATTTATTTTGGTTGTTTGTTAAAATTTAGTTAGAGTTTATTTAAAATTTAAATTCTTTAGTTAATCAATAGAGATCTAATAAAGGTATTAATTACATTAGTTGAATGTAGCATTTAATATGTATTTTATCGATATTTTAACGCCTAAACATTAAAGTGGTTTTATTGTTTAGATACAGAAGTGAAGAAGGAAATAAGTCAGTGTTTTTGCAATTAGATATTTGTTAATAGGAATTTGCTTATTTGAACTGCCACTGGAATTTTAAAAAATCAAGTTCTTTAGCTTTTTTTTTATACTTTCTTTTAGGGGAGTTAAAACAAAAACTAAGTATAAATTATGATTAGTTTAGTTTAATAAATAAAGCATTAATATTTAGAAGATTTAAAGTTTACTTTAGTTTATAGTTTTGGTTTAGTTTATAGTTTTGTTTTTAGCTTTAGTTATTTTTTTCTTACTTTAGACAACTTTATGGATGAAATGAGGGGATTGGGTAAAATAATTATTTAGATATGTATATATTTATATGTTAACATTATTTTATCGATTATTTTATATTTATTTAAGTATATATTTGTCTTTAGTGTCTGGTGGAAGTATAGCTGGTAGGGCTGTGTTTTATATTTTATATATTTTGTATGGAGATATATGTGCAATAGACGATTTCGGAGTTAGCGTAGCCATCTTGGAAAAATATTCTTGAGGGTGCAAGTTGAACTTTGAACTTTCCGTTTTTATGCAAACTTTCATATAAAAGTATGAAAATTTTCATAATTTAAGTTCAAAATAACTCATAGTTTATTAGTTAATTCTTGGTTTAAAAATATTAGCGAAAAATGGTAAACTTGTTGCAAGAGCTTTTGCTGTTATGGAACTTATTCTTGAAATTATATCTTCACAATTTAAAAACAAAAGGAAAGGTGATATTACACCTTTTTTATGGTTTTAAATTTTGTATTTAGTATTTTAAATGGTGCAAACTATACCGTATGAAAACTTTAAATCAAGAATTCACTTTAGTACATACATTTTATTACAGTGAACTGTTTGATCTCATTATAAAATATTAGTTATTAGTTTAAAACTAGTTAATTAAATTGTATGTATTATAATGCCAAGTCAAAGCAGATCTTTAGTTAGTGTCTTTATTAATGACAAAAGATACCCTGACGAAATTATAAAACAGCAATGTTGAAGAAAATTTAATAATACACTTTTAATGCTTTTTTTTAAATAAAAGCATTTAGTAAGTAATATCTAGTATGAAATATAATGCCAATTCATAGCAAATGTGTAGTTGGTGTCTGTAATAATTACAAAAGATACCCTGACAAAATTATAAAACATAGCAATGTTGAAGGAAATTTAGTAATGCAAAGTTACCAACATGTAAAGAAAGAACAAACGCATGATACATTATGGTAGCACTAGTACAAAAGATTTTGTTGTTCCTAAAAACTTTTTTGTTTGTTTAAATCACTTCCTTGAAGAAAAATCTACAAAAGATAATCCTGATCCAACTTTGTTTTTAAAAATCTCTACTAACACCATAGCAACGCCAAAAAAGAGAAAAGTACGTAAAATTCCACGAAACTCAATTATTAATTCTTTAGTTATGAAAGAAACTAATTCAATGTTGACTGTGGTGATTCTGAGTTGAATTTTGTTGTTGCAGATGAAAGAGAAATAGTATCATCTAGTGAATTTCTAGTGTCTGTCCCAATGATGTTCTGCCAGTTGACACGTGAAAATGATGTGCAATTTTTTTACAGGTTTGGTGAGTACAAAAAATTTTCAGGTATCTTTATTTATCTCAAACAAAGCTTCTCTTATGACGTATTGGGGAGGCAGCAACAAAATTTTGAAATTAAGAAAAAGGTCAAGTTCTGTTGAATTAACAGAAGCAATATTATGTCTCCTGATTATGATGTTGATGTTGAATCATCTATCGAATTTGAATTAGTTTCTTTCATAACTAAAACCTTTTTAGAATTAATAATTGAGTTTTGTGGAAAAAGTACTTTTCTCTTTTATGGTGTTGTTATGGTATTAATAGATATTTTAAATGAAACAAAGTTGGATCAGGATTATCTTTTGTAGATTTTTTTTCAAGGAAGTGATGTGAACAAACAAAAATTTTTTTAAAAAAGTTTTTAGGGACAATAAAATCTTTTATACCAGTGCTATCATGATGTATCCATGCATTTCTTCTTTCTTTACATTTTGGTAACTTGTGCATGTCCGGGTATTATTTGTCATTATTACAGACACCAACTATACATTTGCTAAGACTTGGCATTATATTACATACTAGATATTACTTAATAAATGTTTTTATCTTAAAAAAAAAAAAGGCAATAAAATATATTAACTAGTTTTAAACTAATAACTATTTTTTTATAATGAGATCAAACAACTCACTGTAATAAAATGTATGCACTAAAGTGAATTGTTGATTTAAAGTTTTCATATGGTATAGTCTGTACCATTTAAATTACTAAAATAGAAACTTTATTTTTAAATATAAACTATATGTGTAATTAAATAAAAAAATGCAAACTTATTTTATATTATAAAATTTAAAACCATAAAAAAAGGTATAATATCACCTTTTTTTTTTTGGTTTTAAATTGTGAAGATATAATTTCAAGAATAAGTTTCATAGCAGCAAAAGCTCTTGCAACAAGTTTAACATTTTTTCCTTATAATTATAAACCAAGAATTAACTAATAATCTATGAGTTATTTTGAACTTAAATTAAGAAAGTTTTCATACTTTTATATGACATTTTGCATAAAAACGGAAAGTTCAAAGTTCAACTTGCACCCCCAAGAATATTTTTCCAAGATGGCTACGCTAACTCTGAAATCGTCTATAGGTGGAAAAATTAATTAATAAATATGACACTTTTGAACTGGTTGCATTATTGCCCTATATATTTATTAAAATACAAAATATTGCATGTTTAACCCTTATTAATTTGCTCTCTCTTTTTTTTTTTTTTTAGCATCTTCTGTTTTGAATAAAAATTGTGAGGTTATGCTAATTTTTTTTTTTTTTAATAACTGCAAATGTATAATTTTTATTATACTCTTCTATTTGTAACTTTAGATTCCTTATCATTCGAACATTACCAAAATTATCGCTTCGAACACCCAGGACCTCTCTCAGAGAGGTCCTTCAATAAATGGAAACACAATGGCGGTATGGATGAGCCCTCCTTTAAATGGAGGGCTCATCCATACCGGGGTGTTGGAAGACACCGAAGAAAAAACAGCAACCAAAAGGTTGTAAATGTCTTCTACCAGTAGAGATATTTATGACTTTGTAGTTGCTGCTTTTTCTTCGTTTTTTTTTTTTTTTTAATTTTGTAATTTTTTGTTTCGGTGTTTTTTTTATTATAACTTCGTAATTTTTTTTTTTAATATATATTATGTTGTATATTTGATTTGTTTTAATCTTTTTTAATAAAATTTTTAATTGTTTTCTCAATAATTAAACCTGACAAATTTAAAGCCCTCTTAAATACCCCTCTCTAAATTCTAAAATCGAAAGTTGAATTGATTCATTTTCCAATTATCATAATATAATGATGCTGCATTCTTTTGTTAAAAACAATTATTTGGTACTGCTTTTAAAATTTACCAAAACCCAAGGCAATATATTTAGCTATATAAATACAATTTATTTATCTCGATTCCATTCTTTATCTTTTATGTTTATAGCTTGGCTCCTTAAAGCATTTTATGTTTTGCTCTTTTTATTATGAATATTTTAAATCCGTTGTGATGTCTTTAAAATTAAACTAAAGTTTACTAAAAGCCAACATAAAAATTACGTTTTTGAACAACACCAAAAAGAACAGCTGCATCCCTACAGCAACTGCTGCAGTATCACAATAGGTTACCAAAAGCAGGTATACTGTTTTCCAGTTGTTGTTTTTTTTTTTCATATATATCTACTTATTTATATAATACTATAGTACGATTGTTTATATCTCTTTTTTTTTTTTTTTCTTTATCTTTAAGTGTTAATAATGTTATTCTTTGAATGATATTAGTTAAACAAGTCGGCTTTTCATTAAAGTTATTGGTTTCAAAATTGAACATCATTAAGAAAATGCTTACAAAATTAGGTAGTTTTTAAAAAATCTGTTTTCTATTTAATACACTTTTTTTTAAATATACTTTTTTAATATACTTTTCTATAACAATTCTACTAATATGGAATCACGTAGCTTTTTAAATATGTTTAACTGTTGTCCCTATAAGTAATAAATATTTTAAATTATTTGATATGGTTTTCTTTACAATAGGCTATGCTTGGCTCCTTGGTGCTGTAAATGGTGGCTTCAACTTTGTTTTTTTTAAGAAAAATGTGTTTTATATATGCTTCTGTTTTAAAATATTTTTGTTACATATTTAACTATATATCATGTAAATAAATTTCTTTTAAAGATAAGTAAACTTGATACTTGCTTTTCTACGGATTTTCAAAAAGTGAACAAAGGTTTAAATATATTTTTTAACTGTCTTTTATGATTTTATCAAT